GGATGGAAATCTCAGAAGCTCTCACATCTACTTTCGCCTCCTCTCCAGGTAACTCAAAGGATCTCCTTACATTCAGAAGTGTACAGCCTTAAAATCATTGTAGAGACTTTCTCCTAAAGACTTAACTCCTCTGTACCTACGGAGCATTTTGTCTAGATAACATTGATGTGCCTACAAAGATCCCATAAAAACCCTGCATACCTACCTATCACCTCCAAGTGGCCCACGTGTAACTTTATATCTTTAACATGGACACTCCCAGAGATCCATCTTTGGTATGTTTCACTGTGCTCACAGGATTCTCCTTAAACCTGAAGGGGGTTAAAAAATAAATAAATAGAATTTTTTAAAATGCAGTTGATGACTTTTCTATAGGATAAATGCACAAAATGAACATATCAAGATCATGCATTTTTACATTTAAAAGAAGGCTTGAAATTATCTTACTGAGTGGATTCATGAAACACTGATCTAGATAATCTGTTTAAAGACCCAGATGAATTCAGTGGCTAAATCTCTTGTCTGATAGTAATATACCCATAGCTTCATGATTTGTTTGGATTTAGCTTTAATAGGTCAGAAAATAGTTTCCTTGCACTTATAGTAAAACATAATGGATATGATCTATTGTTACTGCTATTTATATTAGATTTAGAGTTGTGCGTATGTGTGGTTTTAAACACAGACGTCACAACTCTTAGCTAATATTTGGTTTGTACCCACATTACGATGTCCAATATAGAGACTTCATGACCTCGTTTTCTGTTATTTCCCTTTCCTGAGCTCGCTATTTTTCAGAACCAGGCCCAGTTGTAATTTACCCTTTCCTGAAAAAGGTTCCTCCTCTCTAGGGAATGCTCTCATAATCCCAGTGACCCACACTGAGTGTTTGGGGAAGACAGAGACGCCCATCCACCCAGTCCAGTTACTCAAATGAGGTGAGAAATAGGACAAAGCAGTTGTCACTATTGATTGGCTCTCAGATATGAGAGTAAGCTTACCAAACTAAATTTACTTTATATAAATTCAAACATAAAAGACTCAAATATTATCTGGATGACTTTATCCTGTCTCTTATTTCAGTCCATGTAGCCAAATAAGGACTTCCTGAACAAATAAATAAAGGCAAAATGCTGAAATAAAACAAATAAGCAAAATGAAGAAGCCAAACAAAACAAAACCCTATGGTATTCCAGGAAGCAAATAAAGGCCTCCTGTGCAAATAAAGGCAAATGGCCAAAATAAAACAAACTAACTCAGCAACTATCTTAAAATCTGAAGGACACAGAAGAATTCTTGTTTATTTTGAACAATCACTTACTCCTTTCCCATATCTACGCTAATGAATAGATGAATTGGGCTGATGGTAACCCAGAAATTCAGACATTGGCTTTCACAATGCTTTACCTGGTACACGACAGCAAGGATTTGCATATGCATTCTAGCCCAGTCTGCTCCTGGATTCTTGCTTTCTTGCTGTATATAGGAGCATTTGGTAATAGATAAGACAGTTTGTAGGAAATTCGAGTAATTTCCTTTGAAGTTTTTCCTTTGAATTCTTATTACTTAAAACTATTGAGTAATACTTTGTACCAAGTGCTATGCTTGGACTATTTTATCTGTTCCTCCCTATAAATTTTTATTTTAGATATGTGAAAATTGAGGTTTAGAAAGCATATTAGGCAGCTTGCACCAATACCATAATAATGAATACCACAGACCGGATATCTTAAACAACAGAAATTTATTATAGCTCTAGAATGTGAAGCGTCAAAGAGCAAGGTGCCAGTAGATTGGGTTCCTCACGAGAGTTCTCTTTCTGGTTTGCAGACGGCTACCCCCCTCTCAGTCCTCACACGGCAGACAGAGGATATTAGTCCTGTGGGATCAAGACTCACCCTATGACTTCATAATTTTAATTTTAATTACCTCCCTAATTATAGGTCCTGTCTCCAAATACAATCACATTGGGGTTTGGAGCCTCAACGTATGAGTGTAGAGGGACACAATTCAGTCCATAGCAGAAAGATTAAGTGACTTTCACAAGGTCACAATACTGTTGAACAGCAGAACCAGGCTTTGAATCTAAGCAGTTCAACACTGAAACCCATGTTGTCAACCTCCTTATAGCTGTCTGTGAGTCTTATGGTTGTTACAGAGTTGGCCAAGTTTGTCTTCTAGCCCCTTCTGCCTTTCTGTGTTCTGTACTCTGGGCATACCTTTTTCACCTGCTCCATCACATCTTCCCCATGTTCTAGCTAGTTCTTCAGGGGTCATCTAATTTGTGCTAAAGCTTTATCCACTCCAAGAGTACTTGCACATTTATGAACAAAATGCCTCAAATAAAAAGGCTCTTCCCCCCAATAATGAGATGTTAGCTTTCTAAATACCTGACAGACATATTTTAAAAGAGATTCTTTCCACATCCCTCAGATTACTCCTTGCAGAAGATTGTGGCACTTTGGAATATGAGTGCATAATACAAACATTTTCTGCTAGTTTAGTTTTTCTTCTGTGATGCTTTAGAAGAATATTGTTTAATTCATTTTGTTAAACATCTACTTCCTTACCCTTTTCACTTTATTCACAAACATATCTTGAACACTTTTTATATATACAACATGAATGTAAATTTAAAGATACAAAATGGCCCTTGCTTCCAAGGTATAATCTAAGTATATTAAGTCTCAAAAGACAGATCTGGGGAGAAAAAAAAGGATATGACATTTCAGAGAATAAAGTTAGATAAGAACTGCAATTTTTAAAGTTTTATTTTATTTAATGAACAAGGAGGCCTTTCTGAAATCTTTTGAGTGGGTAGGTAGCTTGATCTGATTCATTTTCAGAATCACCTTTATAAAATAAAGGGGAGGATGAAGAGGAGGAGAGTTCACAGAATAGCGTAATTGTCCTGAGGTAAATTCCACAGAAAAAAGAAGTTGTAAATAATAGAACACCTTTGTGAATCAAAGGTTTGAGGCTTGAAGTCATATTTGTATGAAAAAAATTAGTGTTTCCCCACATTATATCAAAAGGATATGTTTGATCCAGAATATTATTCAGAATATTTAATGACTGGTATGATGTGATACTTTAACAATCAGAACAGGGAACTGGCCAATCAAACCAGAACAGGTTTTTATATATATATATTTAACAAATGTGACCATGATGGTATGTTCTGGCTGAATGTGAGACATGTCTTAGTCTCTACTTCTACAGCCATAAATCTCATGATTTGAAAGATTCTTCTCAAATGCATTTCATAAATTAAGTAAAAAAATTATTTTCCAATTTCTTAATTTAATAATATACTTCTGTAATTTATATTAGCTTAAGATCAGTATAACCTACTAAACTGATACAATTTTGGCATCCATCTATAACACTTGCTTGTCAGTTGGCCTATATGGCCTTATATCAGGCAAATGCATAATTTCTGCTTGGCATTTTGAAATATTAAAATATTTACCTAATTTCATAAAATTCGTAGGCGACAGATGGACTGATGTCCTTAATTAATAGTGTTGATTTAAGTCATGTACCTCATAGCCTAGAGATGTTTTGAAATCTCTCTCTCTCTCAGACACACACACACACCATAAATGTCTTCATAATTGACATATCATTTAGCTGCCAAAGCCTCTACCACTCTCTTTTGTTTTACACATTTACGTTACATTATTTTACCCACCTGGCCCCTGAAGGCAAATGCATTTATAATCCCTGATTTAGATATTTTTAAGTTTTTGGAGACATCATTTTGTTCATGTCATAATCCAGTTCCAAGTGTAGTGAATTATGCTGTGATCAGGTTTTAGAAACTTCTGAAGTAGTTCTATCTCTTGAAGTACTGTTAACTCAGAAGATTTTACCAGTTATATCTGGCAGGGTCTGCTTGAACTGTATCACCATAGCTTCCATTTTAGTTTAAAATGTTCATGAGTAAATAAATAAAATCTTTAAAAATAAATAAATAAAACTTTCTCACCTTTCATGTTCTACTACTGACCTTCAAAATTATTTTGAAAACCACAGTTGACTTTTTGTAGTATGTTAAACTTCTCTTTTTGATTTTTGTTTTGATTCTTTCCTCTGCTTACATCCCCTGCTCCTCCTCTGAAACCAATTCTCTTGAAACTGCAATGCCCCACACCCTCACCAAAAAAAGTATCTGTGATCTTGTGTATGCCATGATGGGGCCGTTGGCCCATATGAGCAAGCAGGGGCCAACAGGTGACATGCTTGTGCTACCTTGGTTTGCCTGATACCTTCCTGTCCTTTCCATCCCTCCCCCAGGACCTCATGCTGATGCTGCAGCAAAGTCCAGTCTAAGAAAGGGCCAACTTGGAGCTGTGAGTGTCCCGGTCTTCTCCTTCAATTGTTCCTTGTAAATATGATGGATAACTTTAGTCAGGACAAAGTAGTAGAAGGGCAACCAGAAGAGTGCTGAATGGTTACAGCCCAAGTGGCAGATGTAATGTCTTTTAGATGAACATTAATGAGCTAGGGTGTGCTTTCGGGAAAGTACGTTACAAGGACTTCATGAGAGACGCTATGACTGGACCCTGTAATTCTTGCTTAGGTCCACAAGAACTGAACGTCTGCATATCCTGACTTTGACATTGCGCTGCCCATATTAAGTAGGAGAACGGGTGGATAACAAATGGCAGAACTTGGGGACATTTTTCTTTCTTCCTTTAAAAAAAAAAAGGCAGATGGTGTTTTGAACACAACTTGCGGTAGAACATAAAAGCATGAGAGTTCTGGCTGTTTGAAAGAGAAAAAAATAAGTTGATTTTTTTTTTTTTTTAATGGCAGAACTAACTTTAGTTTCTCCCAAGGCCTTAAAGAAAAAAAAAAAAAGCCTTGAGAAATGGGAGTGAACTGCAAGAGAGGGTTTGTGTAACAAGTACCTAAAACCACAGAAGTCACATGGGTTCTTTCTGCTTTGCTACTTTTGATTACTTGTCAGAGTTCTACTCTTAGCTTCCCCCATCCTGCGGCCGGTCAACCATGTGCGAGCTGGAGTGATCTTTATTCACTATGTCTTTGCAAAGGCTCCTGCAGCAGAGCAGCAATGGCAACCCGGTGGACTACTGTGCTGGTCCAGCCTATAGCACTTACCCCCCCTCCCGGCCTTCCACATGGATGATAATAGAAGGATTCAAATGCTGGCAGACACGGTGGCCACTTTGCCCCGGGGAAGAAAGCAGGTAGGATTGCTCTTTTGTACTTTGAGAGTGTGTGTGTGCTCTTGAGAGCAGACTTGATAGGTTTGTCTGACTTGACACTAAAATTGTATTTTAGAGGCTTTGCAGTGAGTCACCAAGAGTATGGGTGAGGAAGGCAACAAGGAGTCCAGAGAGCTCGTGGACTAGTCCAAAATATGTTAAGACCGTAATAAAAAAAGGGGTTTCTTCGAGGCAAAACTTAAAAGGAGATTGTTTTTCTAATTTGAAGAGGCGTTAAGGTAAAATGAACATCATTAAGGACATGGAACGTAGACAGTGCTTATAGACACGGCCAGTTGGAGAGTTAGCGATGTGTTCTCCCCGCCTGGGTCCCATTGATTCCGTCCCTCCCAGCTTCACTCCTTGGCAGTCACTTCCAATCCAATGAGGCTACTTTTTCTTCAGGATGAATTTTGTCGACTAAATTATTTCTAGCTCTGGGGCACAGGCACGCACCTACTGCTATTGGGAATGAAGGCTTTTACTGGATAAGTGGATGGCTGATCGAATACAGCTCAGCCACGTCCTAGCTGTGGGACCTTGGGCAAGTCACTTGCCTCTCTAAGATTTAGTTTTCTTTTTCCTGCAATGGCGATTATAACAGAAGCACCCGAAGGAGCTCTTCTGTGGCTTCAGCGAGGAAATGTGCAGTGCTTACACAGAGACTGACATGTAGTGTGTGCTCTAAAATTATGCTACCATTTTAATTTTTACTGCAAGGTATTTCCCTAGAGATGAAAACTTGTTTAGAAAAATCCACATCTAGTCGCATGTCTTTAGTTTCATTCATGCTACAATTTCCAATTTTTATTTTTATTTATTTATTTAAGATTTTATTTATTTATTCATGAGAAAGGGAGAGAGAGAGGCAGAGACACAGGTAGAGGGAGAAGCAGGCTCCTGCAAGGAGCCTGACGTGGGACTCGATCCTGGGACTCCAGGATCATGCCCTGGGCCAAAGGCAGGCACTAAACCGCTGAGCCACCCAGGGAATCCCCAATTTCCAATTTTTAAAACAATGTTTTGACTATAACACCTCGTCAGGTTTTGGTAATACAACTTGCTACCAAGCCTCCAAGAACGTTTCTAAATTTAACATTAGAATTGGTTTAAAGCATGAAGTTTTGCCCTTAAATCCTGCATTCACATCACGGGCTCCTCTTAAGCCATCTAATTTCAGGATTAGAGAGTCAGAGCACAGAGGGAGAGTCATGATCTTTTCTCAGTGATGTATATAGCTGATTCCTCGTTATTTTTCGCAACGAAGATAAGGGCATAATTTGCCATGGTTTGGATTTTTGATCTTTTTTTAATCCAAAATGCTTTTATGACATTAAGCTTAATCAAATGATGAACATGTCTATCAATTTACTACTTGCCTGAAAGTAAAGCAGCTGTGGGAAGCACCAAGATCTTTGTTGAGGTTTCAGATATAGAGCAGTGTGGAAGGACAGAGGTGAGAAGAACCTGTTTCCCGGCCTTGTAGGGTCAACAGTTCAGTTCGCAGGACCAGTAGGCCTGATACACCATAAATGCTCTAACCCAAGGACACGCCTTTTAATGTAACCTTGAAGGATAGACGTTCCAGTTACTGAAGGGTATTCCAGAGCAAGGCAGTCATTAGCGCCGAGGCACAGATGTCCGCCTTTAGGGTACATTGAGGTCACAGCACCTTGGCGCGTCTGTGGGAGGGGAGGGGAGCCCTGGAGCTGGGCTGCTTTCCTAGACACTTGAACACTCCCCCCTGAGGAAGTGGTAATTTGACCAGCACAGGAGCCACGGGGTGTGTCTGAGCAGAAGAGGGTTTTAGGAACCTCACCCTAGAAATGTGGTGTTTCGGTAAGTGGGTAGGGAGCAACTTTTGCAGTAATTGGAGGAAGAGGAAAAGGGAGGGGGTAAGGGAGAGGAGACCCAGAGACGTGGCTGTGAGAGGCAGGGAAGATGCAGGAGTCCCATCTGGGTTTAGGGCTGCGAGAAGCAAGCATGGCCTAGAAGGCAGGCGCCTTCGTAGGGGGTTATTGGAAGGAGATATTGAGGGGGACTGAGGCACACCAAACACACGCATTGTGCGTATGAATCTACCACTTCCACTTCCACGCACACCCCGATGGCTTTATCTCCTGTTCACATCTTTTTAGGTCCTCTCTCCTCCCTTTTCTCCTATTCTTTCCCAGAGTAAATCCCTATTGAAACAGCTTTTTCTTCCTGTTGTGAGAATCACTTGAAGGGGGGGGGGGGAAGCAAAACAAAACCTCTTCTACACGATACTTAGGGTTCTGTACAATTATCATCAATGAGACTTGATGCAAGTTTATCCCAACATTTCAGAATTTTCCAAATGGATGTTCATTTCTTTTAAGTGGTTTTTAGAGAATAATCACCCACTTGGCACCGACTGAATTGCAGGCAACAAGATCCCTGTGAGGCAATCACATGAGCAGGTGTTTCTCTGCCCACTGTTATTTTCAACACTTTCGGGGCTGACGTCAACAATTCATACTTCTCCTTATTGTTGGCTTTGGTTTCCGCAAAGCTGTATCTGTGAGCCTGTAGTTTCAGATTAATCTTCAGAAGCATTTGGGTGTTTACACTTGGAATGGCTTAAAAATAGACTTGTGTGTGTGCCTATTACCTCGATACCTGTGTTTGTGGGAGGTGACAGGCACTGCAGTGCGGCTTCTCCTCCTGAATGCAGTTTTAGGGGAAAGAAATCCCTGCAATGTGTGGGAAGGAGACAGGAGGAAGTGAGCAGAGGCTCTACAGGCGGCGGATGGCAGAGGAGTAGTGACGGTGCCGGGCCCCGCCCAGGGTAGGAGGCTGCGTTTGGAGGGCAGGTTTCCCCAAAAGCTGCGACGAGAGCCAGGGACCTGAGGCCCACGGGCGAGAAGCTGGAGTGTGCCTCGGTGGTACCAGCGGCGCCTTGGCCCGGCAGCCTCCGGGGCATCCAGTGATTGCTAAGTAACAGGCAGCTTCTGAAAGGGTGATGCCACTGAAGGGCTCAGACGCAGGATCCGTAGGGCTGTAGTTGTGGGGTCCGTTCCGCCCCCTGCGGGCCTTCGCCTCCTTTCTGGCCGCACCGCCGCCTGCTGCCCGAGCTCCCGAGTGTTCCTAACGGGATCGCGCCTTCATTCCCCAGGGCTTTAGGGAGGAGGCTGTTGGATTCACTACAAAAGACTTGGAAAAATCCTCTCCAGTCCATACTGTGACACGTTCGCGACCAACAGCCAACTCCCCTTGGGAAAGAGGCTCCTGGGTCCGCAGTGGGGCGTTCTCGGGGGGCACTGACATTTACCTGGGCTCCTGGGGGGCGCTGCCGAGCCCGTGAAGCCGGCGTCGGGGAGCAAGTCCCTTAGGCGCAGGCGCGCGCCGAGGCCCGGGCGGGGGCGGGGCGGGGGCGGGGCCGGGGCGGGCCCGGGTCCCCCTGCGCCCCCCGCCCCCCGCACGCCACGCCCGCCCCTCCAGCCCGCCCGAGGCTTCGTGCCGAGGCGTCGCACGTGTCAGGCGGTCGCTGAGGTGCGCTCGAGTCTCCGCGTTCAGGGATTCAGGGCCTGACACGGGGCGCGGCCAAGGCGGTGCGGAGCGGGGCTCCCGGGCCGGGGGGGGGGGGGGAGCGGGCGGGGGGACTTGCGCCTGCGCAGTTGCACCACCTGCCCCGCCTGGCGCCCGCACCCCGAACCCGGGACGTTTGCTTCGGGCCCGGGTCTTGGCCTTGTCTCGCGGACTTTCTGTTTTGCGCCTCAGGCCCCCCGGCTGCAGGTCGAGTGGGTCCCGGCGCCGCTGGCCTGGGGGCGCTGCAAGCCCAGGAGGCCGGGAGTCGCGGGGACCCGAGCCTGACCGCGGGACAGCACGGCTGGGCCCCTGCCTGCCAGCCCCCCCCGCTGCGGTCCTGCAGGCTCGGGTCGGGAACGTTCTTACTGGGCTGAGCTTTCTTTATTTTTTTAAAATTTTATTTATTTATTCATGAGAGAGAGACACACACACAGGCAGAGGGAGAAGCAGGCTCCATGCAGGGAGCCCGACGCGGGACTCGATCCCGGCACCCCGGGTCACGCCCTGGGCGGAAGGCGGCGCTAAACCGCTGGGCCATCCGGGCTGCCCTGTCCAGCTATTTGTAACATTCCGCTCTATTCCAGGCCCAGCACTAGGCCCTGGGGTAGAGAGGAAAACGAGAACATTCCCCAGGAGGCCCAAGGGATACTGTAATTATGGACGGAGGTGAGGTATTCGGCCCAGCCTTGCCTTTGTATGAACCTGCATCCACGTCTCACAAGTATGAATATACTGAATAAGGTGATGAATATTGATAGCAAGAGGGGCGTTTTTAAAAAAGTATAAGCCCTGCTTACCATAACGTAATATAAGTAGACTTGACCTCCCGAAGTACTTCAAAATCAGAAATAAGGGTAAAAGCCAGGGAGATGCACATAATGAACATCGATGAAGACAATGTGAGTATAGCATAGGGGAGAGAGGAGAACGCTTGGGAATGTCGTTTGCTGTCCCCTCCGTAAGAAGGTGGCCCCATCACATAGCTCAGTGGTCCCCATGCTTGTGCAGTAGGTAGGACAAATCAGGCTGAAATAAACCATCACAGTAGGCCGCCTACGGTCAGTCCTTGCAAATTAAAAAAAGGGGCCCGTGGGTGGCTTAGCAGTTGAGCGTCTGCCTTCTGCTCAGTTCATGATCCTTGGGTCCCAGGATCGAGTCCCGCATGGGGCTCCCCTGCATGGAGCCTGCTTCTCCCTCTGCCTCTGTCTCTGCCTCTGTGTGTGTGTGTGTGTGTGTCTTTCATGAATAAATAAATAAAATCTTTTTTTAAAAAAAAAGCAAATTGAAAATACTTTTTCACGAATCTAGAGACTCTTTTTTGGTCTGAGCCTTCCTGTTGCGGTTTTCAGGGTGATATAAATGATGTGAGGTCCAGACCTGAAAAGACAAGCAATTGCAAAATGTAGTTAATTTACATCAGATCCATGAGAGAAGATCAGCTCTTCTTTACTGTGACGTTAGTGATCAATAGCCGAATTCTGAACACGGAGCCATTCCAGGAAGTTTGTGAGAACGCTGCCATTTGGTACTCGGTAATTCAAATTCATTAACAGTGGTAATAGGCTTCTCTCCTAACAAATGCCTTAATGAGGCTTTTGTTTGTGCATTCATTTCTTTTACATGTTTTTCTCCTGATTTTCATTCTCTGTTTGTCTTGTTTGTATTTGTCTGGCCTATGTGTCGATGTCCTGACATTTTTTTATGTGTTCACTGAAAGATGACAAGCATACCAGGTTGACAGTGAAACCCCATGGGTTAGCTAGAACCATAAGCTGACATTTTGGGTCCCCAGACCAAGACTTGAGAGAGAGCCAGTTAACATGTGTCAAATTTCTAAACGAATAAAATGAAAACACACCAAAACTTACAGCAATTATCTGAAAAATGAGGTGCCGCCTTTTGCTTATTTTTTCTACTCACAAGGGTAGAGTGTATCCTGGAAGTTTATGTTTATATGATCTCTCTCCAAAGCATGCACGGGAGTGAGGGTGACAATTCACACTGTTTATACCATTCTGTAATTCCTTTCCTTTCTTGGCTGGAAATCTCATTACACTTTTCCAAAATTATTGTAAAAGTAAATCATAAAACGGAACTGAGGTTTTGAGTCTCTGGTTTCACCTGAATGGTGTTCCTGAATAGAAGTTGGTTCTTTACAGATTATTTTATCTTGCTAAAAACAGTAACATATTGAATTATTAATAATAAATACAGTCATTTCATCAGTATGTCAAAAAAAAAACTATCAAGTATTGGAGTTTTATATGCCATTCTATGGGTGGTGTTTTCTTTGGATTTCCATGTGATTATAACTTGATACGGTTAATCTTTCAGAGGCTATTTTAAATACAGATTAGATATGACGTTCTCTTTGGAAGCTTTGGAGTTTTGCCACATTATGGGAACTCTTTTGCCATGGTGTATCAGTATCTGAGCCTCTTGTAGCCTTTTAATGCTTGAATGTTGCCTTTCCTGGCTCTGGCTCTCCTTTGCTACCAATAGATAATGGAAATGACTTCCTTTACGTAACAATTTCCCAGAGCTGGGCCAAAGAAGGTGATAAAGAACAAAGTCCTTTGTGATTTAGAACATTTTATAGATGTGTATTGGGACCTTGTAATAACCGTGTGCTTGTTATATTTTTCAGCTTGCTTTGACGAGATCAAGTTCTTTAGGTGACTTTTCCTGGTCTCAAAGGTAAAGAGATTCATGTATTTTTTTGGTCTCTCACCAAGGCATTTAGGGCCACAGCTCTTTAGACTGTGGACTGGGTGTGCTCGCATGTACACGCATGCACACATAGTCTTACATACTACAGTTTGCATGAATGTCAGCTATCTGTAATTGTGACAGTTATTTCGTGATAAGAATGTGCCAAGTGTGATTATTTGATCTTCATGCATATTTTTAATTTTTTATTACAGAAAGCTCATTACCGTGGAAAAGCAAGATAATGGGACATTTGGATTTCAAATTCAGGTGGGCAGTTTTCAATTTTCCAGACTTTTAATGAAGAAAAGTGGTGCTGGTAGTTATGATATTTGCAAAGGAAGAATGAAGTCAGGATTAGAGAGTGATGAACACTGTGACTTTTCTTCAATAAGTTTTTCAGCACGCTAGGTACCATCAGGCAAAGAAAACATTGAAGCAGATAAAATAAAACTCCCGAGACATGCTCAGCTCCTTGTTCTTATTGCTTTAGTTTTCCTCTAAGTCTGAGACTGATCAGAAGTACTTAGAGTGAAACACTCTCTACAGGTGTGCATTTTTATATATCTGCATTTCAGATGTGTTTTGGATAATCACTTTTATACCATATATCAGGTTTTAAATCTGTACTTTGGTATTCAAGAAATACTTGAAAGAATGTAGATTTGTGTGTATGAGGCTACATGTATTCATACATAACTCCTGTTACATTTTTAAATACTAATGATTGTGTCTCAGATATAATGAAGGAATTGGGACCTGTTTCTTTTTCTTTTAAAGATTTATTTATTTTAAGAGAGGAAGAGAGAGAGTGAGAGTGTTCGTGTGCATGAGCAGGGGGAAGGGCAGAGGGAGAGGGAGAGAGGATCCCAAGCACACTCCATGCTGAGCATGGAGCCCACGCGGGGCTTGATCTCATGACCCTGAGATCACGACCTGAGCTGAAACCAAGAGTCGAAGGCTTAACCGACTGAGCCACCCAGGTGCCTCGTGGCTTTTTCCTTAATGACAACACCTTATAATTATTATTTGAAATTTCTTTTGCATTATCATGCTCTTGCACTGCACATCAACCTCTAGGTCTTAGCCTTGGTGCTGCTTTCAGAAAACTCTGGTGGCTGAATACCAACCCCCAAATGGAAAAGTCGGTGTGTATTTGAACCTTAGGAACAGGAAACTGCCGAGTAAAACATGCTTTCTGAATAAAGAAGCAAAGTGGAACTCCAGCGATAATGAATAGGGAGAGGGCTCCAGGAGGAGGAAAGATGCTTTCAACTTTCTGAGCTATTCTATTTTTAAATTTGATGAAATCTATAATTTTTCTATCAGGTTTTACAAGCAGCGTACTCTTACTTATTCCTCATTCGCATGAACCACTCCCTTTCTGACGTGGAGAGTCTGTTTTTTGTGACTGCTTCCTTTTAAATGAGAATTGGGCAGCCCCGGTGGCTCAGCGGTTGAGCACCTGCCTTCAGCCCAGGGCATGATCCCGGGGTCCTGGGATGGAGTCCCACGTCGGGTTCCCTGCATGGAGCCTGCTTCTCCCTCTGCCTGTGTCTCTGCCTCTCTCTCTCTTTCGTTCTGTGTCTCTCATGAATAAATAAACAAAATCTTTAAAAAATAAATAAATGAGAATTAAACGCAGGATTTGAAACAGTTGCTGCTGGAAACAGGATCAATGACCACTCCCTAATCCTATGTAATGTAACAAATGGGGATTATTTTTCTCACTCTTCTATGGTATATGCCACTGTTTCCCCATGTTTCTCCCCCACAGCGCGGATGCTGACTCTACAAGGGAGTGAGAGTCAAAACTTCTATTAGTGGACTACAAGCTCCAGCCCCTTGATCCCTGGTAGATGAACATGAGCTCATGATTTCACTTCTGAACTGCAGCGTGTTCCAGAAAAGCAGGAACCCACTCCTCTGCCAATTTCTATTTGGTGTACACTTTCACTGCCAGCTCCACACCATAATCCATTCTTTAGCACTTCTAAGATTTGCGGGAGTCATCAAATAGGGGAAATGGCCTGGGAACTCTTAGAAGACCAGATAGAGCCTCATGTACCCCTATTGTGTGCCCGTCGGTCATGTTGGAAAAGAAGCTAAGTCCACCTCCTCTGAATTTCCACGTGTGCTAGTTTTATACTGCTAGTGAGAATCGTGGGGTACGGTAGCGGCACAAATGTTAGATTCATAGAAACAAGTTCCTGTTCTCTCAATGCTGCCTTGTGGGGTTTTTAGGAGTTTCAAATGAAATAACACATCTTGTAAAGTACTTAGTAACATGCCTGGTACCATAGATCAGCCAGTGGCAGATGTTAGCATGAAGGCCATTGGACATGAGAGAGGGCAACGTGACTTTTGTATCTCTAAGAAATGCAGTGGATTGTTCTGTCATTGGCTTCTAAAAATGGGACCAAGAAGTTCTGGTGAAAGAGAAAGACGTATTTGACTATTTCTGTTCATAACTTTGGGGCCTCTGTTTTTCTCTCTGTCGCCAAGCCGCACATTTTACCCTGGTTGCAGATATATATGCCCGCTGTGAAATCAGCACGTTTCTCTCTCACTGTACTCCCTCGGTCACTGGACCTGGAGGGGTAGATGCTCACTGCTAATAATTCAAACTGTTAGAGGAGTGGTTTCCCGAAGGAGTGACTGTTAGAGCCTTGGTTCCTATACCAGATCTAGATCACCTTTCCATTCCTGGAAGGGTCCAGGCCCTAGGAAGAAGACTTCTGGCAGAAAAGCCATTAAAGAGGTCTCTGTCATAGATGGGAAGTATATTAAATGATCTTTAGAAGGTCTCTTCTATCTTTATGATATGGGGATTCTAAATGCCTTGCAGAGTGAATAGCAACTCCTTAGATGTTAACCAAGTCAAGCTTCTGGCAGTTACTTGTATGCGATTGACTTCTGGTTCTGGAGCCTGTAAGTCTATAAAATAAGGAATGAACATCAGACCTTAATTTCTCCATGAGGAAGCAGTACTGTAATGTGGCTTAATTTTAGGAATCAGATTACTTGACTCGGATACTGATTTTGGTTCTAAATAGAATAGGCTTCATAACTTAAATGTGTGAAAAAGGAAATATGTTTGGTATAGGTCATCAGGCCACTATATCTAGCAATATTTGTGCAGTATTCGTGGTACAAGTTGAAACAAAAATAAAAACAGAAAGAAAACCAAACTGCTTTTGCCAAACTGAGGCAAGAGACGAAGCATAACTTTTTCTAATTTGGTTGGCGAACTAACGAACCGGTGAGTATTCAGGGCAGGCATACGAGACCACTTAGACAAGAAGGTAATCGCGTCAATTATAGTACTTTTGAAAAAATGCAGGGCAGATTGTCATTATTTGCAGAGCTCTGATTTAAAATAATTATTGTTGGCATATCTCCCTCCCTGGATATGTACTGTTCCATATGCTCCTGTAATGAGTACTTTAGCTTGGGAGAACTACACAGAGATTTTTTTATTTGCTTTTGGCTGCTATTGTTTTATCCTATTGGGAAATAAGAAACCTGATTTTTCTTAACAGATACCAAATAATGACAGCATCAGGTGATCTCTTGGGCTTGAACATTCAAAATCTTGAGCGAGCCAGTCTTATCCTACTTTGTCTCAAGCCAAGATTCTTTTTTCTTTGAGAGAGAGCACCAGTGGGGGTGTGGGGGCCAGGGGCAGAGGGAGAGGGAGAAGCAGACTCCCCGCTGAGGAGGGAGCCCATGGGGCTGGATCCCGGGACTCCAGGATCATGACCCCAGCCAAAGGCAGACGCTTGACTGACTGAACCACCCAGGTGCCCCCACCACACTTTTTTAAATGAATGGAGTTGGCATCATAGAATTGCATCATAGAATATCAAGATTGGTATCTTTGGTTCAGTTTATATTCAAGAAAGCCTTTCCAAATTGTTCTTTGTACTTACCTACTGTACTGCTTAAGGTAACCAACACCATTTTATTTTTTGACACAGAGATTTTGAGTTCTTTGAATAGTAATTATGTATCACTCTAATTTTTGCAGACTTACAGGCTCCAGAACCAGAACATGTGCTCCCTAGAGATGTGCACTCTGATTTGCAAAATCCAGGAGGACAGCCCAGCACACCATGCTGGCCTGCAAACTGGTAATTTGTAGCTTTGCTCTTGTTAGGAATTATTTAAATAGCAAGAAAAGAAAACTTTCTGAAATCAAAGGTTGGGATTTGATCATTGCTTTGAATTTTCTTAGCTCTCTTATGTTGCTAAGGTTTGGGGCTTGCTTGTTTTCTTTTCGTGTCAGGAGGGATTATTTAGGCAGCATTTTAACGACTCGTTTTTCTTGGCATCTCCCAGGTGATGTCCTTGCAAACATCAATGGTGTGAACACAGAAGGCTTTACCCACAAACAAGTTGTTGACCTGATCAGATCTTCAGGAAACCTGTTAACGTAACTATCCATCTGCTTCCGCGGGGCTTCAAAAATGTTACAGTCTCTTATAATGCCTGTTGAGTGAATGAATAGGCTTTTTGTTCAGGATCACAAGAAGGGAGGCAGTGCACCATAACTTTGGGATTGGGTACAGACATTCTTTATCAGTTCCTTTTGTTTCTCAAGGTTTCCTCAAACTTGAACATACTGTCAACATCTGAAGTCAGAAGACATCAATAGCCCAAACGCCTGTGTGGGAGGGATAGCATTTAGAAAATTTATTTTTCTATGTCAAATTCAATTAAATTGGCACACATTCTCTTTGGTCAGAGAGGAACTGGTCCAATTTCCATGGTTGATATAATCTTGTGGTTAGAACAAATAAAAGGTCAGAAGGGCTGAAGTTTTTGCTCTTATACCACAAGGCAATTGTTACTCTTTTCTAGTGTCCCATTTGGAAGGAAGAAAAAAGTCTGCTCAATCCTCTCTGCCCTACAACACACACACACTCACACCTACTAATATTCCAGACTTACTATTGGGAGATTGGCCTCCTCAGCTAGAGATTTGACTGGCTTTTCTAATAAGACTTCAGTATTAGTTAAAAGATGGAATTTGCTCAATCATTTAAATGATATTTACTGAGCACATACGATGTTTCCAGTTTTGTGATAGACTTAGGAGAGACAGACAAAAACTCTTGTAGCGCTTTATTAATTGTGGAAGGAGATGGACAAGGAAAGCCCCCAAAATAAGTAGTTTTGATATTTCAATTATTAATTACTGCTGTTAAGAAAGTAAGGTAAGGAGTGGGATAAAATAGTGAGTAAGGGGGCTGCTCCTGTAGCTTGGGTGTTTAAAGGGATCTTCTCTGAGGAGGGGAAATCTGAGCTGAGACCTAAAAGAAGGGATGGTCATGTGAATTCCTGGTGAAAGCATTTGAGGCAAAGAGAGAGGCCTCTGAATTCTCAAAATAGGCTTGGCATGTCCGAGAGAGAGAGAGAAAGAGAGAGAGAGAGAGAACCAGTGTGATGGCTGGTTGGTAGATTAGAGAGTATAAGAAATGAAGACAGGGAGCTTGCCAGGGGACAGAGCATGGGTCTTGTCAGGCTTATTCTAACCAAGGTGGGTCTTACATGATCTCCTTCATTCTTCACAGGCACCTTGTGAGGTTAGTTTTTTTTTTCTATTTATAGATTAAAGCGATTGAAGCTTAAATTAGGTGGAATTAAGATCAATGATCTCGTAAGTGACTGGGCTAGGATTTGACCACCTGCTCCGGATGCCAGGATCCATTCTCTTCAGCTACCCCACAGCTGCTCATTGCAAGCTGCCAATAGAAAGAAAATCTGCGGGATGCTCTTCCTTTAGCGATCCTAGTCTAAAATTTCAAAGATGTCCTGGGAGTTTGCGGGTGTCATTTTAAAAAATGACTCCTGATGGTGGGGGGACTTAGTCCAACTCTGGATCCTGTGAGTTCAGGGTAGAGGATGGGGGTGCTCTTTACTCCAGAGAGCTTGCATCTATAAGGTTGGAGCCATAGAGAGTCTAAGGGGGAAAGGTGGCAGTTAGAAACAGAAAGCTACGTTCCAAATGGGTAAAGTGGCAGGACACAGGCATACAGTTGGGGAGGAAGGGGTGGAGACAAATGGAGATCCAGAGATCAGGAAAATGAGCGACATCTGTGTAAATACTGGAGCGAACAACTGATGTGTGCCTGTGGTTTTGTGCATAGACATCTGTTGCTTGGGCAGGTCAGATGCACATTAGAGTCCGATTGAAATGGATTCATAGGATCCTCCCAAATGTCCAGACACAAGTCCACCCTAATGAGAAAGCAGACATCTTGGCTTGAATTGTCATCGCGTTATCTTGGGAAGGGTGCTATTAGAAATAGAGGAAAATAGGTCTTCATATTTAATGCTATTGTTTTACCATGACTTGAAAAATTTCTGCATCTGAATATAATAGTTCCAGCTAACTTATCAGAAGGAATCTGAACCAATATTTTAAAAATGCTTAGGTGTGTGACTCACACATGAAATGTGTTATCCTATTCAGATTATTGACTTAGTAGTCAAAATAAAGGCCTCAACATGAGCCCACAAGACAAATCAAATCACTCAGGATAGAACAAATCTTTTTATTTTTAGAAAGGCATTTGGTATAGGGAGAAACAAACACCATTAAACTGATAATTCTAGGATTGAAGTTTATAAACTTAAAAGGTTCTGAGATGTGAGAGTCATATGAAGGTTTTTGGCTCATAATGGTTCTGGCTCTGTTTGTTCTAGTTGCAAAATGAAGGCAATTTCCAGAGGCACAGGTTCCTAGAATCCTAGGAAAGAAGGATTTTCCCTTTTCCAAGAAATGGCATGTTGATTCCACTGTTTGAAAATTCCCATTACATGTCGTTCTCACTGCTGGACCACTCATGCTTAGCATGGCGTCGACAGTCTGGCACATACTAAATGCCCTGTGAGCATTCACTGAATAAAATAGGTGATTCAGTCAGAGCCCATAAGAGTAAATTCCAGGAGAGACCAATAATCGTTGCCCTAGAGTGGCGTCTGTACAAAAAAGAGCTACAGTTTACAAGTTAACCAATATCTTTTCTTTTCAACCACCCTCTCAACGGGATTTTTGGGATTTTTTTGTTTTTCCATTTTCTTTCTCTGAATGTTGTCGGAAGATTTGACCTAGGTCCAGGTACTTGAAACACCATGAGAATCATAACATTTAGGTTGCTTTTCAAAGTATTGTCTGTGCTCAAAGTGTAGTACTCCATAAGGCTGGTGCTAGTTTGAAAGGATCTCTCATGCTGTTCCCCTCCCCCCGCCCTTTTTTTTTTCTTAAAACAGGATAGAGACTGTTAATGGAACAATGATTCTCAAAAGAGCAGAGCTTGAAGCAAAACTGCAAGTTTTAAAGGTAATTTAATTTAATACAATGAGGCACATTTTTCATCCTTGAATGTGTGAGTAGTAGAATAAAAATGTATTTGAGGGATTGAAATAGCCCTTGAAGATGAAATGTCTTGATGAGTCTAAACTGCTGAATTATCAAGAGCCACACAATTACCTTTACAGGAATATTAAATTCCATAAACCAGTGCAAATCACTTTCTTCCTTCCTCCTTCCGTGTTTCTATGAGGCTCAGGAAGGCAACAGGAAGGCACGTCACTTGAAGAACTTTTCACTCATGCACCTGTGATCTCTCTTGATTTACATTTGTCTGGGGAGAAAAAAAACAAAAAACAAAGGAGTCGCTGGTCTTTTCCACATTTTTCCAAGTGCTGCATGTGTCCAGGCGGGCCTGGAAGTTTTGCTTTTCCATTGTCCTCTTCTGTGTCCTGTTCTGCTTCATTCTTCCTACAGACACGGTTCTCCCTCTGCTCCTGTGGCTGTCCTTGAATCTGCTCTCGTGGCAAACACGCAAGCAACAGTGGAGTGGAAAAGAAAGTTAAACGTTTCCAGGAGATAGCACACGATGCAGGATGTTCAGAGAAGATTCCCTGGGATGGCTCTTTGAGGGTCTTGAGAATCTCAGTTTGCTAGCCTGTGGCTCTGGCCGGCCTGTCACGTGCAGACCCCCGTCGAATGCGTTTGAGTCAGGGTCCCGCGGCCGCCTGACCCCTCTCCCTGAGACCTGCCCCACGTGGCCGTGCGCTGGCAGGGACTTGCAGGGCTTCCAGGCGGGTTGTCGCTTGGACTGTGTTTAGTGACAGCTGGCATTTATGAATTTTCTTTATGAAGTATGTGTTCTTAATTATTGAGCCCGTGAGGATAGAATTACTATGTTTATCTTTTATCTTGTATACCCTCCTCGTGTCTAATTCCTCAGTGAGCCCTGCCTGTTTCCTTCTGTGTCAACTCTGGTTTTATACTCTTGCCATTTTACTTATTGTGATATTTTGAATTAGTTTGTAAAATTCCTCTATTCAGATGATGATCGGAATTGACATTTATAGAATAAATATCAGTTGACATCTTTATGGTGTTCACCTTTCCTCCTTCAGACACAGAATCTTGACCATTTATTTATTTATTATTTATTTATTATTTATTTTTAAGATTTTATTTATTTATTCATGAGAGACACAGAGAGAGAGAGGCAGAGACACGGGCAGAGGGAGAAGCAGGCTCCGTGCAGGGAGCTCGACGTGGGACTCGATCCCGGGTCTCCAGGATCATGTCCTGGGCTGAAGGCGGCGCTAAACCCCTAAGCCACCTGGGCTGCCTGAATCTTGACCTTTTAATTCAGGTCTTTTAGGTACTTCGAAAACATTTCATCATTTCTGTATACACATTTATATATCTTTTATTATACTTATTCTGATGTACCTTCTAAGTTTTCTTACTATAATAAAGGTGATCTTTTAATTTTAAAAGATCTTTTATTTTGTTGCTATTGATTTTTGAATAATTTTTTAAATATGACAGTCTCGCTGAGCTCTCTATTCCAATAGGTTTGTTGATTCCCTTAGATTTTTTTACATAGGCATAACATCATCTGCAGATACTGAAAAATTTTCTCATTTACCCTTGATGATTCAACTACTGAACTGCATCAGGTTTGAATCGCATGGATCCACTTATATGCAGGGTTTTTTTTTTTTTTTAAATAAATGTTACAATATTGTAAATGTATTTTCCTTGTGATTTGCTTAAAATACTTTTTTTTCTCTAACTTGCTTTATTTATACAGTATATATATTAATCAACTATTTATGTTATTGATAAGGCTTCCAGTCAACAGTAGGTCTATGAGTAGTTAAGCTTTTAGGGAGGCAAAGTTATATGTGGATTTTTTATTGTGCAGGGGTCAGCACACCAACCCCCTGTATTGTTCAAGCGTCAACTATACAATTTGCTTCTCTTCTCTTACAGCATTGGCTAGGACTATTGTAAATAGTGATAATCTTATTCTTGATTTTAAAGGGAATGCTTCTAACATTTTATCATTAAATTTTTGTATGGAATAAACAGTACTTCATATTATATTTATTTTTTAAAGCTGTCAAAACATAATTTGTTTTTATAAAAAAGAAAATTTTAGTGAGGATCTTTTATTAAGTAAACCTAGCTCTTTTACCTCTCTGCAGAAAAAGGAAAGAAACAAAACAAATTGGTGGTGTTATTCAAAACATAACTGAACAAATAGGTCTGGATTTCATGGAATATAGTCCTGTCCTGCAAAAAATACATTTCATGTCTCTAAGCAATTTCTGTTCCTTCAATGTTTTCTCTTGAAGTTGTAATAACCATACTTAGCAATTTTTTCAAATGAGGGATAAATTTTTCAATATACCCATCCTCTCTCAGAGCATCATGATGCCTCAACATTTATTATTTTTTATTTTATAAATTTAATTTAATTTAATTTAATTTAATTTATTCATGAGACACACACACACACACACACACACAGAGGCAGAGACACAGGCAGAGATTCCAGGATCACGCCGTGGGCCAAAGGCAGGCACTAAACCACTGAGTCACCCAGGGATCCCCAGAAGACCTCAACATTTAAATGTTCATCTTAAGACTCCATCTTTTTTTATTATTGTTTTATCAATTTTTAGAATGAAACACTACAAGTGGTTGTTCTGAGTAGCTGGTAGTGAGCACATACACTCACTCGTGTTGAACTGACGTGCTTGCTGCTTATTTCTCTTCCTTCTCTGTGGGTTTACTTTTTTGCTGTGGGACTTCCTTTAGGAAGAGTAAGTAGGGCTTACCCCCAAAAATCTTTTATTGCTAATGTTGAAGGAGAGTTTGATTAGGTGATTAAACTATTCTCAGTTGTTCTTTTGTCTCCTTAGCATTTTAAATGTATTATGCCTTTGATATTTTTGCTTATGAAAGAGCTCCTATTGTTTATCCTTTGTAGGTAATCTGCATTTTCTATATTTTCTTCCAAAAGTTTTAAAGTTTTTCCTTTTTTTTATACTTAAGTCCTCAACTCATCCAGAATTAATTTGTGTATGTGGTAGATATGGGATTCTAATTTTCTTTTCCTTTTATTTTACTTTATTTCTTTTATTTCCATACTCTGTTCTCCCAAGTATCATTTATTTTAGTCCTCCCCCCACCCCCCTAATGCTCCTGCAATGAAGCCTCTGTTTTTAAGCAAATTTCTTATATGCATGGATTTTCTAACTGGCTCCATATTCTGATCCATTGTTTCTCTCAAATTCAGTATATATACCTTTGCAATAAATATTGCTATCCAGTTAAACAAGGCTTCCAGGTTATTCTTGGTTCTTCTGACCATCTATATAAATTTTAGACTCAGATTATCTAGTTCTATAGATAAATTTTGGAATTTTGATTGATACTACATTTTATGTAGATATTTCAATTTGAAAACACTTAACATCTGTTTGGTAGTGAGTTTTCTTAGTGATGGAGGATCTCACCATTATTTTCCCCTTCCCCGTCTCCCTTCCCCACTGGTAACCACCACTTCTCTGTATTTATGAATCTGTTTCTGCTTTTTTGTTTGTTTGATTGTGGGTTTTTTTTTTTTTTTTTGCATTCTACTAATAAGTGAAATCATATGGTATTTGTCTTTCTCTCTGACTTATTTCATTTAGCATAATACCCTCTAGGCCTACTTCTGTTGTCACAAATGGCAAGATAGTATTCCTTATACGGATGAGTAATATTCCACTGTGTGTATATACAGTGGAATATTACTCATCCGTATATATCAACACCTTTATCCCTTCCTCTGTTGATGTATACTTTGGTTACTTATATATCTTGGCTATATTTTTAAAATGCTACAACTTAGGAGTGCGTATATCTTTTAAATTAGTCTTTCTGTTTTCTTTGGATAAATACTCAGTAGTGGACTTAGTAGATCATATGGTATTCCTATTTTTAATTTTTTGAGGAAGCTCCATACTATTTTCCACAATGACTGCATCAGTTTACATTCCCACCAATAGTGTATGAGGGTTCTTTTTTCTCCACATTCTTGCCAACACTTGTTATTTCTTGTGTTTTTAATATAAGCCATTCTGACAGATGTAAAGTGATATCTCATTGCAGTTGTGATTTACATTTCCCTGATGATTAGTGATGTTGAATGTCTTTTCATGGGTCTGTTAAAATCTATATTTCTTCTTTGGAAAAATGTCTATTTAGGTCTTCTGCCTATTTTTAATGGGATTATATGGGTTTTTTTGTTGTTGAGTGGTATAAATTATATTTTTTGGATATTAACTTTATTGGATATATAATTTGCAAATATCTTCTCCCATTTGGTAGGTTCCTTTTTGCTTCATAGATGTGCAAAGGCCTTTAATTTTGTTGTAAGTCCCATAGTTCATTTTTGCTTTTGTTTCCCTTACCTGAGGAGACATATCCAAAAATATGTTTTTAAGACCAGTGTCCAAGAGATTGCTGCCTATGTTTTCTTTTAGGAGTTTTATGGTTTCATGTCTCACATTTAGGTCTTTGATACATTTTGAATTTATCTTTGTGTATGTTGTAAGAAAGTGTTCCAGTTTCATACTTTTCATACTTTTTCATACTTTAAGAAAGTGTTCCAATTTCATACTTTTGCATGTAGCTGTCCAGTATTCCCAATTTATGAAAGACTGTCTTTCCCTCATCATATATTATTAACTACTTTGTCATAGATTGATTATCCATATAAGTGTGGGTTTGTTTCTGGGCTCTCTATCCTAATTCATTGATCTATGTATCTATTTTTGTGCTAGTATCATACTGTTTTGATTACTTTGGTTTTATAGTATATCTTGAATTCTGAGATTGTGATACCTACCTCTAGTTTTGTTGTTCTTTCTCCAGATTGTTTTTTGGCTATTTGGGGTCTTTTGTGATTTCATACAAATTTTAGGATTATTTGTTCTACTTCTGTAAAAAATACTAGGATTTTGATAGATTACTACTCTGTA